TGTGATACTAGGAATATCAGAGCTAAGGAGTGGGGGATGTTATATTATACCTAAATTGGTACATCTTATTATCTTTAAATGCTAGATTTTTTGTGAAATGTTAGCAAGTGTAATTCTCTGTTCCATTTTTCATTAAGCTTTATGGTATTAACAAAACCCCGTAATAAACACATAAATTATTAATTCTACTTGATTTCTTGTCAAATCCCAACTAGAATATTGTTCATCGTGTGACAAACTTGAGGTATACTACAATCGTTGAAATGTGGTCGGTAGCGTATCGGAAACAAAACCTCGGACTTGTCCACATACATCTACACAAAGTTTGCAAGTTTGAATGATAATATTATACTACTTCACAGTTATGGTTAATATTCTGAAATGAATGTGCTTATTTTTTATGAATACGCTTCATTATCGTTAACTTGATTGAACTTCCGTTCACTTTCTTTGAATTTCAATGTTACTCTGCATTATACAATCAGTTTATTTATCGGATTTATTAATGAAAAAAGGGAAATTGTACTACTAATTCCTTGAATTTTCATTGTTTCTACGCAGACCAGTACACTCAGTCGGCGTGAATCGTTCAGCCCCCTACCACATACAACGTTCAGCAGGCGTATCCCCCTGCTGGCCAGCCTGTTGCTCCAGCTCCCTACAACCAGGCTCCTGCTGCCCCCAACAGCCAGGCTCCTGCTGTCCCGTACAACCAGGCTTCTGGTGCACCGGACAACCAAGCTTCTGCTGCCCCGCATTACCAAGCTCTGGGTGCCCCGTACAACCAACAAGCAGCTTCTGCACAGACCAAACCTGACGAGTTGGTGGCTTAAATGCGTTAAGAAACTGGGTCTTATTAATGAGACTACCCGGATATGTAAATGCTTATATTGGGAATAACAAGCCATAGCTATATTTTTGATAAATAAAATGCAAGCCTACTCTGAGACACACGAATATTTAGAGAAAAAGTAGTTCATCCTCACAAACTTTTAAATATTCTGAAGAGAGTGGTTTCGATTGTTAGCCGTGATACAGTGATTATAATTTAACATCATTTAATTTTTAATCTCTGCAATTGGTAATTAAAAGATAGCAGATGAAAACAAATTAAATATGCTAAAATGATGGCTGATGTATTGTGATAGATACGCATAAAGTCCGGAAAAATGTTATCCTGACAGGATCATTAAATTGAAGCCTCGTCAAACTAATGCTTGATGATGAAAACAATAAATTACTAATTATTCTAGGAAAGGGGTGGCTTACATGATATAACATAGCAAACTGTATTAAAAAACATGTGGTATGGAAGTAAAATAAGTGTCCTCTATTCATTACGTGAAGCTGAAATCCCCCCCCCCCCCCATCATCCCACCCAACGTGAGAAACAGAGAACCCTTTTGTTACTATTTATTAGGCGGCTGGGCTTCAATTGACTATTTATTTTAAAACAATATGAATATTAGATTTGTTAACAATACATAGACGATGCAGTAAACAATACAATACCTTACATCTTGCCTTGTTCCGTGCTCATTCTTATTATGTTTTTATTTTTGTTAAATGACTCTTTCTATATCCGAAGTTATAGTGTATGCTTAAGCTGACGTGGGCACACCAAAAACCTTCAAGCTAAGTGTTTAATATCATTTTTCAGGCTTTGTATATTTAGCTGAATTTATTTTGTATAGAATATTTATAGAATAGAACATTATACCAAAAAAGAAGTGATCTTTTCAGTCCTTTAGATTTCACTATAGTTTAATTCTTAACGTATAATAACAAAAATATTGGCTTTCTTTAGTGTTATATTAGATATATTGCATTCAGCTAGCATGAATATTGCACTTGTGTTCGACTCGTGTTATATTCCCGAGCTGAATGCAACGTATCTGATATACCTATCAATGGCAGCCAATATTGTATAAATATATGAACCGAGAAATTCAGATTTCCCAAGCAAAGGCAAAATTTTGCTTAGGAAGTGTAAATAGCACATGTTTTGATTAACACGTAGTTTAAGAATTTACCAGCCTTGACATTTAATGTGCAAGCTTTCATCCACTCATGTGGACTTTCCCAAGCCATGTGACTATTATCACTGTTTCTTGCTCTCTGCTGCCTTAAGATCACTGAAGCGGAGATTGGTGACAGTCAATAGCCAGAGTCCTTATTCATCGAAAGATTAATCCTTTTTATCCAGTTGGATTTTTTCACCTTCCTCCATCAAATGGTGTGTTTCAAAGTCAATAATATGGGCATCATTCTAACCCATGTTAATGTCCAGCATTAAGATCGTGTTCTGATACTGCTGACTGAGAGGGATTTTTTGGGGGTAAAGGTTGGAAGAAGCTTAAACTACATGCTTTGATTACCCAAACCTATGAAAGTTTTTTTTTCTGTCGGTTTTGTATGTACATTCGGAATAAGAAAGATAATTGATACGACTTGGGGCAATTTTGACTTGTGCTACTGCGAGTTGTGCCGAGTTATATTTTACTCGTTGCCATTGGCAGAATGTCGAACTGCCTCAGATGGAATCATGGGTGTAATCGGGTTGATCGAGTTGATATGTGTTAATTGGTTTTTTACAGACGTGTATCAATCAGATGTGATTAATTTGGGAGCACGCAGACACACCGTATCACTTTTATTGCACGAGGAACTTTCGCTGCGTTTGGGCTGCGGTCGGGCTACCGATTCACCCCAGTGCATGTGACGTGCGTGCCCGGTACTGCCAACGAGCGCACAACGCACTGACTCCGTGCGTCTTTAAAATTGGTTTCCCACGGTCACTTGCTCTACGGAAGGCACACTTAGCACGAGCGTGCTGTGCACGTGATAAGTGCGTGGTCCGTGCTTACTCGCCATTTCCCCAGTTCAACTGTCAAATAACCACGCAGAACTCACGTGGACCGTACCGAGTAAGCACGTGCTCCGCACTCACAACGCACGCTGTGCGCACTGATTTATGCAGTATATAGTCTCTGCGGTGGAATGGGCGGCATCTTGAGGCAGCAGCAGCTTGGACTTCTGGAGAACATCGGAATGTCGTCTTATATATACCCCGGCATCGGGCGGAAAAACTCACCAAGTTCACCGCACGTGCATGCACTTACAACGTGCGAGTGAGTAAGGACACCGTACGGCCTCCGTACGATAACATGGCAACCGCATGGATACCGTACGTTGTAAGCACGTTGTAAGTACGTACAACGCACTTACCACGTGCGCAACGTACGATGCACGCAGCCGTTGTCGGTACTCCCTTCCTGCCTTTGCCACTCCCTCCCTACGTTTTCAGAAAAACGTGGCGGCCGTGGCCTCCCCACAAACTGTACGGACTAAAAACACGCACGGTGGGTTGTGACCAACGTTTAAGGTAACCCAGGTTGAAAAAAAATGTATTTCAATTATTTTAAACATTAAATACAAAGATAAGGGAAGATTTGGGATGAATTTGAAAGGGAAAATAGTGTTAAACTGTACTGGGAAACGTATATATATATAGAATTATTTAACACAATGGACATGCTGATAGGAAAAAGGCCGCTTTCAATATGTAAGTGTGTTTAACGACGTACCCCTCCCCTCCATCACCAAAATAAATCATGTAAATAACAATTTCAATACAGGTTTCGTACTTAGAGAAAGATGAGAGACCAAGAGAGAGAGAGAGGAGCGGAGGGAAATACAGAGAGACATTAAGAAAAAGAGAGATAGAAAGAAAACGAGAGGAAAAACAAGAAAGAGAGAGGAATAAAAGGAAGAAAACCCAGGATGAGATATGAAAGAGACAGAGAGCGAAAGAGAGAGAGAAAAAAATACAAGAAAGAGAGAAAAATGAAAGGAAGGATAAGAGGACGAGAGAAGAGAGAAAGAGAAAGAGACCAGAAATTTACAAAAAGAAGAGTCCAAGAAAAAGAGCCGGGTGATGGAAGAAACAAAGAGAGGATTAGAGAAGGAGAGGGACAGAAATATATATAGAGACACACACACACACACACACACACACGCACACACACAAACAGCAATATAAATAGAAACATGTCATGTTCAAATAGGGGACAAGGGAATGAGAGGGACAAAGATAGAGAAAGTGAGAGACAGAGAGGCCAAGAAAGAAGGAGAGAGAGGGGGCGAGAGGGAGGGGGAGGGGTCTGGAGAAGATCATCGATTGCCAAACTTCATACATACACGAACCTTGATGTAGTGGTAAACAAAGTACCTCTTCTTTCGATTTTTAAAATCTTACCAAATGGGGATGAATATGATAAGAAAAATTAAAGGCAAGTCGAGCGCCCGCTATACTGAGCATTCGTCTAATGTTTATTCGGCATCATTATGCATTACATTTCATCAAATATTTGCTTAAATACGCCTGTTAAGGTATCAAAGTGCAACATGGTCTTGAAATATAGCACGGTGCTTAAGCTCCTGAAAAAAGGGTCGGTCCTTTGGGACCTCATCGCGTGAAGTTTTTCGTCTATGGCTGATCGTCAACGAAACGGAGTTAAGTCTTTTGTCAATTATGTTTGTCGCTACGGCAGGCAGCCAGTGAAAACGAACTCGTTTCCTTAAATACGGGAAATGCAAGCATTACTTTAAACAAACATGACTGCTTTTCCTAGCTCATTTCTCGTGATTGAGGTGTCATTAGAAAGGGCCGAAAATGAACTTTCTAGAAATGTGATTTTCTCTTTGAAATCCAGATACCGCCCGCCAGATGACTTTTTGGTACCATATCTACAAATTTATTTTTATTACTCATGTGTAAAATATGCAGCAATTGAAAGAGGAGGATCTAAGCTTTATAAATATGTATCATTTTTTAATTATATTTGTGATTAATTTATAATAAAACATCGATATTTCTCGGTTTCCCTTTGTTCTGGGACGCACTGTTATATACGTGTTTTTTGACAACGCACTGTGCGTCCACACGCAGCGACTTAGTTTTTCAGGAGCTTAGGCACCGTGTTACACTTTAAGGAACATGTTACATTTTTAAGACCTTAACATACGTCATTATAAAACCACTCACTCCAACCACAACGGGGATCCATTTTTCTTTTGTAGATATTGCTCGCATAATTATTATAGTATCTACTGTAGTATGTGCGATTATACAGAATCATAACCGGACTTTGTTTGAGGCAGAAATTGTAAACAAGCATCCAAGGTAAGTTTCATCTGTATTTTATAAGTTAGCACGACAGTCCCTGCAAAATGTATTTCGAGTTTGTTTTGACTTGAATAGAATTAATGAATGCTGCGTAGTATTATCTTACTGCTGATATGATTCAAATCATGAGACCATTATCATTTCTAATTTTATTTTAAGTCGCCATTTTGTTGATGAGTACATGTATGTAGGCTTATTGGAAATATCAGGTACACAGTTATGTTAATGGTGAGGATGCGAATCGTACATGAGGTGTAGTTCTTCCAAATATTGATATGACGCTGATCAGGGAGAATTCTCAGAAAGTACGCAATATCGAACGGAGAGTCATTATAGCCGTTAGCAAGAGGGAATAGAGAAAAAAATGTGTTTCAAGTATTAAATATTATGTTGATCATAAATGAAAAACATCGAATTTTTGATTAGCTAAACAACAATACTTACTCCTTCCTCGTATAGTATATGTGCTTCCAATGAGTTTTAGATTCTTTTTATTAATGATTAGTGAATGTCGTCGTGGAATATTTTAATTCTACTATAATGTGAAGTTAAGAAGGGTCATGGTGTAGGGTAGGCTTGCAAATCTTGAAACCTTGGTGAAATTAGTAGACTCGTGTATTCCAGATCATTATAAAGATTTGGGACAATATAAGGAATAAGGGATAATAAAATTAGCCCTTTTACGTCTCGTAACTCTTTCCGGAGTATTATTGAAACATGTTTGATACAAAAACTCGCTTATTCGAATCTTCAGAGGTGGTTTTATTTACTATTCAATATGACACGAGCCGTGTGCTCTTGTGTCACATTGAGAATCGCCATTTCCACGGCCTAATTAGCCTGAACCCCTGCCGAGTTGTGACGTGTCAGCGGGTTACTGCATTAGGAATTGTATATTTATGTGTGTACTTATCGCAAAGAAGATGGTGTACTGGTCTGCCAAGCGTTTTGGTGTAAAAATGCCTCCGGGAAAGGACTCGAGAAGTCCTTTCACTCGATTCCTAAGAAGGAAAAGCAACCAAATTTTGTAGGCAATGGGCTGCGGCGATTCTTAAAAAAACATCTCCTTACTCAGCCGTCAAGATGTGATTTTTAGCGACACTCCATTAGGCTTATAAGGTTCATAAAGGTTCATATTTATTGTCCATTTGACAATGGAAATTCATCGTGTTAATACATGGTATTGCTATACACATATAGTTAACATATAAGTGATGCGTAAACGTATATGATTATGGTACTCGATTTGAAGATCAGCAAATTTTAGATTTTGGGGTATGTCAATTTCGAATATATTGAACTAAAATAATTCATGACAAAATAGAAAAGTGGTATAATTGTTATAATAAAGTCATAAATGTTCTTAAATTGACTCAACATCTCTGACAGAGCGACTGGAATCATACTCAGGTTTCGCCTACTCCGCTCATACGTCACACGCCCACGATCGGGAGGGGGAGGCCCGGCCGCGTCTTATTTTTTCGTACCACGGCGAGGCCGGATTCCTGTTTTATCATGAATATTCATTAGGCAGGGTCGGGGAAAGTCTCGATTCTCTTAAATATTCATATCGAGGTGGGAATGCACGACGCGCGCTATACTCGCACAAAGTGAGAAGATTTAGTTCACGGAGAATGCATATGGGTGAGTAATTGATTGAAATATCAGTAGATTAAGAGAATTTAGTCATTAATTTGAAAAAGCTGTAATTCGTGATCTACTGTAATTTCTTTACATTTTGAGACTGTTCTCAACAGATTTGTGGGGAAAAGGCTAGGAAAATATTTCTCTTGAAATTGCACTTTGATTTTCTTCGTCGTGAAGTAGTTTGACTGCGGTTTGCCTTCATGTCACCATTTAGAGCCCCGGGGTTCCGGCAGGCCCACGTTGGGGAATTTCGGTGCTCATCTGCATCAAGATAAAACTTTCTGATCAGGTTTTATTCCAAATTTGATCGTCATCGTGAATCTAATTCACCAATCATCCATTGAATTTAAATCTAGATTTAACGTTACACCTTAAAATAATCTATGAAGTATGATTTCTTTAATAATCCAAGAGGGTTAATTCTTGTTTATATCTTTAGTAGATGTCGACTCTGTTGGCTATACTAGTATTACTAAGACTAAGTGCTATCCGTTCGCTCAGTTGCATCATTGGTGCGTGTCAACTTTTAGACCAAAACTGTTTGTGACCATGGATAATCAAACGGCTCCAAACCATATTTCATTTAGACGTAAACCTGGAACTTATTAATAATAATATTCAAAAACAAACAAACTAGACCTAGGATTCATTTATTTAATGTTCAGATGTTGTGTGTGTCCAGTGTGCTTGTCAAGTTGTCATAACCTTTCTAGATCTAGACCTATATTAAAGATTTTTTCTTCTCCAAAGTGTGCAGTTCATTTGATGAATCTATTTTTTGTTGGACGTTGTATAAGAGAAGACCCCTAGGGTAGTCGACAATTATGTTTACTTATACGCAGAGGCGGCGGAGCAACTTCCAAAGTGGGGGGGGGGCACCAACAAAAAAACTTTCTTGAAAAAAGGGCACCTTCAGAGGGAAAATATACCATTTTTTTGACATTGGTATATACCCCTATTTTGTGATTACATTATCAGGGATGATTTCAATATTTGTTTCTCTTAATACAGCATTTAAGATATTGCTTAAGTATCATACTTTGCAGTTTTTGGCTTGCAGTGCGAAAAATTACATCTTATAAAGAGGAAAACCCAATCCTGATGGGGTAATATAAGCACAATCTCATAACGGAAGACTGAATAGATCTGTGATAAGTTACATAATTATAACATCTATAACTATGGGCAAGCGTAGCGAGCAAGCTTTGTGGGAAATTGCTTTTAGTCGCTTGAAATTAGGGACACGTTTAATGATGAGAGGAAAAGGGGACACTTATCGAAAGGGTTAAGACACTTATCAGAAAAGAAAAGAAGCATGTGTCAAAGTACAAAGGCTAATTATCAGAGGTGAAAATGGGGCACTTCTTACACCTAAACAAAGAGGCATGCACCAGGGATGATAAGAACATGGGCATTTGTCGACGGAAAAGAGGCACCCATCAGATTTTGATAGGGGGCATTTATAAGCAGTGAAAAGGGGCATTTATGAAAAAGGGGTAGGTTCTTTATAAGAAAGGAAATAGGGTACATATCATTGTTAAAAGGGTAATGAGAAGGGGAAGTGGCTCTTATTAAAAAGAAAAAGTGGCACATGTTTAAATAAACGGGGCACTTATCAAAGACGAAAAGGGGTAAGGGTGCTTATAAGGAAAAAAGGCATTATATAGGAAGGAAAAGGAGGACGTGTCAAAATAAAAGGGGCATTTATAAGAGATGAAAAGAGTACTGACTAGGAGGGGAAGGGGTGCTTGTCAAAGTAAAACAAGTATCTCTCAGAAGTGAATAGGGTCATTTACAAGAGATGAAAAGGGGCACTTAAGAGAATGAAAAGGAACTATTTTCATAAATGAAAAGGGGCATTTATGAGAAGGGAAAGGGCCTATTTTTAAATGGAAGCACTTATAAGAAAAAGGGGCACTTATTAAAAATGAAAGGGAGCACATGTGAAGATATAAGGTGCGCTTATCCAAGTTAAAAGGGGTAGTTATTAAAAGGGGAAGGGGCACTTTAAAAACTTAATAGGGGCACTTGTCAGAGTAAAAGGGGCACTTTCCTATGTAAAAAGGGGCACTTTTCCTATGCAAAAAGGGGCACTTTTAGGGTACTTGACCAAATGGGAGGGCACTCTGCCCCCCCCCCTCTCGGAGCGCCGCCTCTGCTTATATGGTATGTAGTCCACCTCTTCTTGTTATAATAAACTAATTCTACTTAGTACTGCTTCGTGTTCATAGGCCATAGAAACCACTGTTTGATGCACAAGTTAAATCTTCCATTTAGTTTTACTTTGTACTGTGGTTCATTACATAGGAATGTTGATTTCCACACCATATTAAAATTAAGGCCAACCATGACATAAAAATATCTATTAATTTGAATTATGCTAGATCTATTTTATTTTGTTAAGGAGAAAGGGATGCCTTGATTGTCGTATTGATTTTCTTCTTCTTTTTGTTCCAAAAGATTGAAACTGAAGAGCTGGAAGGAGGACATTACAACATCTCTTATATTTGCAAGATGAAGCAGAAAGTCCCATGCAGGTACAGTTATCAGGTTATTTAGCACACACATATTAAACGACCACCTACTAATTCACTCAAAAGGAAATGGAACTAAGTTGACATTGCAAGCATATATAGTGGAGGGTATATTTTATTCTAGTTCTGCACCTAGTATACAAATATTGATGTCTTTTCTTTCTATGTTTACAAAGGAAAATTTGTCCTTATTTACAGGAGGTCCTGTGTTTAGAAGAGCCATATCAAATGCACATTGTAAGCACTACATGTAGGGTATACACAGGACCCCTCATTTTTTTTTTGTAAGGGGTACTTTCACTTCTTGAGCAATGAAGATGAAGAAGAACACAAAATAAGATTGATAAAAGTCTGTTTATAGGATGTATTATGGTTGATATGTATCCATCAGTATCAGTTTTTAATTGAAGTACATGTACCTACTTTGTTTTCTCTCATGTAGGATGATGCCTCTCTACAGTGGATGATGAAGGCATTCTGGTTTGCAAACTCAGGAGAGGAACAAAGAACAGATGTTGACGGGATCATATCTAGAGATGCGGGCCTACTACACTTCATACGAGCAAGTGTGCTATTATACATGAAGGTACCCCCAATAAATTTTTGTGGAACAAATGTCATGGAGAAAATTATAGATCTAAAACAGATATTTTTCATTGTCAGTTGACTTGTAAAAGAATAATTGACTTAATATCACAATTGTAATTTAGATTAAAAATTAAATGTCAATATAGATGAAATATAAGTCTACATTACGTATGTTTCAGTAGCATTATTTCCAGTATATTCTCTGGTCAAAGTTGTTTGGTCATTTTA